GCTGATATGATTTTTCAAGAATGCTCCTTGAGGTCTGATTTTGTTGAGTTGTTCAGTTTACAATATGCTGAGCGAGTTCTTCCCTTTGGGTTCTCTCGTTCCAGGTCCATGGACATTTCATTCTAGCACTTGACTTTGTCTTCGGGAGCTGCCCTTGGGAGCCTTCAGTGCAGCTGACTTCACCTTCAAGGTCACCCACAACGGTTCGTCCATGTGCTTTAGCTACTCTATGAAGTTTGTCTCTCCCGACATCCACTTTGCTCTTTCCCCTTTTGCGTGATCTTTGGCTTTCTTCGTGAAGGAGGATCTTGACGTCCTCCCACAGCGCGTGAGGTGCTCAATGTGCCCAACCTGTTCTCGAGACGGTTTATTTTGGCTCTGCTGGAGGTCTGAATGTCAACGTTATCCACCTGAACTGACATGAGCAACTGATGGGTCTGTTCCTCAGTCGGCCCCCGGTCTGGTTTCTTCATCACTAGCTTTTTGAGTCATCGCGATGTGGATTGGATGTCCTTGAGAGTGCAGAGGGATAACCCTTGCACAGCCAGAGTTGTACTCCATGATGGGATTTAGCAAGATCCTTCCTAACAACGCCACGCCATTCTCCTGGTCTTTCCTAGCGGAGTAAATCATGGCTTTCTGATTCAGAATGGCCAGGACCGGCCCATTTCAGTTCACCGATGCCAAGATCCGTCTTTATGCGTTGCATTTCCTTTCCGGCCACTTCCAATTTGTCTTGTGTGTGTATTGACTTCACAACACTTCAAGTTCTGATCAGTAGGTTTGCAGCTGTTTCTCTTGACCTTGAGCCGTGCCCCATCACCAAAGATAGATCTGCAAAGCGCCACTCCCACAGGCTTGACCAGACTCACGCTGCCGTCGACTCCCCTCAAGACGTGATCTTCTCCTCTGTCATATTTCCAGTGCCCTGGGACCCGATGGGTCCATCTTCCAGCAGGACCCCCGACAGTGTTCTACTTCCTTTGTTCAGGCTCAGTATTTGACAGGGGTTTCCAGTGGCCTCTTCCTTCAAACTGGGGAGCTGAGTCCTTCTTCATTGTTCTCAGGCCAGAAGCTCTGCTGAAACCTGTTCGCTTTGGGTGAACCACTGCCACGTCAAATACCAGTGACAGAGCTCCCAGCATCACACAAGCCACTGCGGTGTGACAAACTGACGAATGGAGAGAGACCGTTTCCCCGAAAGTAAGACATCCCTCGAAAATAAGACCTACTTAGTTTTGCCTCT